CACTACTACTACTACTACTACTACTACTACTACTACACCTTCCACCATTACAACAACTACCACCACAACTACAACAACAACCACTACGCCGTCCACGACAACTACAACTACCGCCACTACTACGCCTTCTAGCACTACCACAACTACAACAACCTCCACTACGCCGTCCACCACTACAACTACCACCACTACTACGCCTTCTAGCACTACCACAACTACAACAACCTCTACTACGCCGTCCACCACTACCACTACTACGCCTTCTAGCACTACCACAACTACAACAACCTCCACTAAGCCGTCCACCACTACAACTACCACCACTACTACGCCTTCTATCACTACAACAACTACAACAACAACCACTACGCCGTTTACGACAACTACAACTACCACCACTACTACGCCTTCTAGCACTACCACAACTACAACAACCTCCACTACACCGTCCACCACTACAACTACCACCACTACTACGCCTTCTAGCACTACCACAACTACAACAACCTCCACTACGCCATCCACCACTACTACGCCTTCTAGCACTACCACAACTACAACAACCTCCACTACGCCGTCCACAACAACTACCATCACTACCACGCCCTCTACTACAACCACGCCTCCCACTACCACGCCGTGTACCACAGCTACTACTACTACGCCGTGCACCACGGCTACTACTACTGCGCCGTGTACCACTGCTGTCACTACTACGCCGTCCACCACAACTACCACTACGACTTCCACAACAACAACTACCACTATGACTACCACGCCCTCTACTACAACCACGCCTCCCACTACCACGCCGTGTACCACAGCTACTACTACGCCGTGCACTACGGCTACTACTACTACGCATTGTACCACTGCTGTCACTACTACGCCGTGTACCACTGCTGTCCCTACTACGCCGTGTACCACTGCTGTCACTACTACGCCGTCCATCACAACTACCACTACGACTTCCACAACAACAACTACCACCACTACCACGCCCTCTACTACAACCACGCCTCCCACTACCACGCCGTGTACCACAGCTACTACTACGCCATGTACCACGGCTGCTACTACTACTACTACTACGACGCCGTGTACCACTACTGTCACGACGACCACTGTGGGTCCTGGTTGCGATGCGTATTGTGCCAAAATGAAGGAGGGAAGCTACTGCAAGTACTGGCAGACTCCGAGTGTTTGTTTCGGAACTGATATTCCCTGTTCATGTGGTAGAACTACAACCCATCTACCGACGTCAACTGTGTCTCCAACCACCACACCGTGTACCACAGCTGCCACTACTACGCCGTGCACCACAGCTACTACTAGTACGCCGTGTACCACTGCTGTCACGACGGCCACTATGAGTCCTGGTTGCGATGCTTATTGTGACAGAATGAGGAAGGGAAGCTATTGCAAGTACTGGCAGACCCCGAGTGTTTGCTTCGGAACTGATATTCCCTGCTCATGCGCTAGAAGTACAACCCATCCACTGACGTCAACGGTGTCTCCCACTACCACGCCGTGCACCACAGCTGCCACTACTATGCCGTGCACCACAGCTACTACTAGTATGCCGTGTACCACAGCTACTACTAGTACGCCGTGCACCACTGCTGCCACGACGACCACTGTGGGTCCTGGTTGCGATGCGTATTGTGCCAAAATGAAGAGGGGAAGCTATTGCAAGTACTGGCAGACCCCGAGTGTTTGTTTTGGAACTGATATTCCCTGTTCATGCGGAAAAACTACAGCCCATCCGCCGACGCCAACGGTGTCTCCGCCTACCACGCCGTGTACCACAGCTACTACTAGTACGCCGTGTACCACTGCTGCCACGACGACCACTGTGGGTCCTGGTTGCGATGCTTATTGTGCCAAAATGAAGAGGGGAAGCTATTGCAAGTACTGGCAGACTCCGAGTGTTTGTTTTGGAACTGATATTCCCTGTTCATGCAGAAAAACTACAGCCCATCCGCCGACGCCAACGGTGTCTCCGCCTACCACGCCGTGTACCACAGCTACTACTAGTCCGCCGTGTCCCACAGCTGCCACGACGACCACTGTGGGTCCTGGTTGCGATGCCTATTGTGCCAAAATGAAGAAGGGAAGCTATTGCAAGTACTGGCAGACTCCGAGTGTTTGCTTTGGAACTAATATCCCCTGTTCATGCGGTAATACTTCATCCCATCCACCGCCGTCAACGGTATCTCCCACCACCGTCTTCAATACCTCGACTCTGTCGGGCCTGTAATGCGATGCTTTCTGTAACTCTACGTACGAGCGGACTCATTGCAAATATTGGGCATCTCCTAATGTTTGCTGGGGCCATAACCTCCCACGTCACTGCGACTGATTGTGATGTGATGTTATCTTGGACGTAGATCATTCCATAAATCCCGATTATCATATTTCCCCATGTCTTATCCTCACGAATAGGCGAGATTTGCCGATTTTACGGTCAAAGTTAAGTAGACTCTCATTGAGTGGATTCTTTATTCGAGTCGGTATTTGTGTTATTGTTAACCATTTGGGAACTCAAGGTGATGGTTAATGGAATTTAGAGATTCTATCTACAATCGTACTCATAAAATCTTCAACTAGTTCCGAGCTAAGCTAAGATTCCATAGTTGTGCACTCTGCACAACTACAGTTATGATCATTATTCGATCTGATCTAGATATTGTGAGTCGGGGGTTAAGTTAAACTCGTCTAATGTGCCGTCCTGAGCGAGTCCCGTATTTTTAACTATCATGCCTTCATTGAGAAGCCAAGGGAGAATTCCCAACAATTTCTCGAATATCTACAGTAGACCTATTCCAAATACGCGATCAAGCTGTGGGAGTGTCATTTCAATTTCCAATGCCGTCGCCGACTTGGGCGCATGACCTGCAAATAGCCTACTGTACTGAATACATCTTCAGGATCGGATATTCCCGCAGATTAGTATTGTTCTCTCGTACACCATTCCAGGCGTTGAATTCATGGGTTGGAGGCCGTTATTTTTACTAGAACTCTCGGAAACGCATTTCCCCAGAGTTTAGGACCTCGAAATCGGGGGAGTTCAGTCGGATCCACTTGTTCTCGACAACCACTACGCTCAGAGTCTTTTCGTGAATACTGCTGCCGGAGTATGAGTCTCCATGATATAATGTAGGCGATCCTTCTGATAGAGATTCAAGCAAGAAGATATGAATCAAATCTATTACTGCTCCGGTGCATAAGGGGAGGTCCTGGCGTAGTGGATAAGACGGTTCCCGAGACAGTAATTGGTTGCAACAGCTGGTAATCATTGACAATTAATCAACATTATATTACTACTGGCAGAACCCGTTCATCCGGTCCGGGGCCCTAGCTCGCTCAGTTCAGGGTACAAGCAGTTTGTGGAATGAATGAAGTGGAAACTTTCCCATTGGATGGGACCGGTACGACTAACTCGGCTACGCTACTAGCTTGGGAGGGTGAAGCTATCGGTAGTCCAAAGACTCTGATTGAGATAGGAATGAGGAAAGAAGTTGACGACCGGATCGAGCAAGAAGAAGAATCTGCATAAAGCCTCTTTCGACAGGAACTGCTTCGAGTTGGAACGAAACGACTTCCGGAGCGCAGCAACGAGCTTTGCCCTCTCACAAGAAGCCCATTTCACGAGCCTCGGTTAGGCATCGTAAGGCGCTAGGCGATTTTTGCACCTAACAGCGCTTAGGCTATTTCACAAAGGCTGGAAATCGGGGCCTTACGGTAAGGCGAAGGACCTTAAGGTGGCCTACCTTATAGGTCCTGTGCCTATCAGGTGCAAGGGCCACCTCTTAACGTGAGGTGATTTCACTAAGGCGATTTAGGAACCCCACCTTACGAACCTTACGGACCTAAGCGTAAGGTACCTCCGGAGGTGGCTTACGGCAGCTAATGCCTTCCAGCTTTCCATTTTTGCTCTTCCGCTACGCTTATACCCAACCCAGTGCGGTTTCTCCGCGGAGAATCAAATCCAGCGCAGCGTTTTTTGACTTCATTTTCGACTTTTTGTTGCTTTGTGGGCATACTTGTAGCAGAGCACGTATATGTCGTTTGCCATGTTAACCGATTACAGACACTTGAATTCTCCACCATCCCATTGAATCAGAAAGACGTGATTGTTGTATCATGTATTGCTCGTTATAAGACCATTTCGATCAGCATGCCCATCCCATTGAATCCATAGTATACCGTAACTTATCGAGCTGTTAGGTGCACCTAGGTGAATCGTAAGGTGCGCCTTACGTTTAGGTGCGTAAGGCGGGGTAGGTACATTTGTTATGAAATCACCTCGCCGTTAGGTGCAAGGCACCTAACTAGGTGCACCTAAAACGTTAGGTGCGCCCTCTCTGCGGCATTAGGTCAGAAATCCCTGTGAAATGGGCCCCGAAATGAGTATCCAACATTTCAGCGCAAAACCATTTCTCGCGCGCCCAAGCCGTTTCATGTTTGGTATCATCCGCACTCGTCAGTAACTGACGTATGCAGACGATATTGATGGTCACTCCAGATGTATGCCTTCGTAAGATACCGTGTTCTATCCAGATCCATTCTGAAATCTTCTAACTATGAGCGCTTCAGTCACCGCCCAGCATATTCCTTCCAGTTCTACTCAGGCAACAGCTGGCACCACCTACTCTCCTCAGCCGACAACAGGATCTGCCTACTACTATAATCAGCCTACGACTGCCTCCGCTGTTGCTCCTCCATCCGGTCCTATGATTGACGAGAAGATTGTGGGGAAACAGAAGGAGAAAGCTCTCCGGGAGTTGGAGTCTCGTGTCAAGCTCGCTCTTCAACAACATGACCAGATGTATCAGCTCCAGAAGTCCCACATCAACGCTGATCATGACAGGCAGATGGAGTATACGAAGGCAACTATCGAGAAGGAGCGACAAGCTGCTCTCTTCGATCTCGAGGGTCAGTATCAGACCAATAACAGAGGTTTGGAACAGGCCGCCATTCAGCAGCGTATGCAGATCGAAACCACCGCCATGCAGCTCGATATCCAGGCTCATCAACAGAAGATGGTTCAAGAGCATCAGGAGCGTGAGCGCAAGTGGACTGGTCACGTTGCTGGTATGCCTCCTGCTGGTTATCCTACCGCCCCGACTAGCTTTAATCCTTCTTACACAGTTCAGCAACCGGGTAACGTGGTCTACAGCAGCACGGTCCAGCAACATAGAATCAGTGTCTCACCTGCTGCCGAGTGAACGAGCATGATATGACGGTGTTATTGTACGGTCGAGGAAGTCTTTGCTTGTTTGTATAACTTGTCAAAGCTAGACCCATGCATAACTCTCAATTCCAGCATGACATATGTGTCGCGTTTGCACAAGTAGGATACAGATAAACATGTTCATTTTGGTAAACTTGAGTGTGTATTGTCAAACTCGAGCGATTCTATCAGAATGTATCATTTCCAACCGTAGCGACCTTTCTTTTAGTTGTGGCAAACTTGAAAGTAATATTTTTCAGTGCGACAAACTAAAATATAAATCCGGCAAATTTGGATGTGTAGCACGCCGACGTCACGACTAACGCTGTCTCACTTGTACATTCACTTGTCAAACTTAGTTGAAACGAGATGTATTGGTTACCAGGAAGTAGGTAAGGTGAACTACCTTGTTCATCTCCTCTCGCACAGGCAAGGGAATTGATAATGTGCTCTCAGCGTGACACAGTGGGACTATCCGGGGTTACCGTATTTGATTCCCACCAATGTTTATCGCCTCGTAATGCCATGCATTTACTCATGTGTGAGAGAAAGTCCTACGTCGACAATACGGCTTGAGTAGTCTACTAGTCTTACTGATACTAGTATAAGACTGTCACCCATGCACGAGATGCCCTCTCAATAAGCGTTCAGACGAACCAGTAATGCTACTATCAGACCGAGGCCATCGTCAACCGGGACATTTCCTTTCCTCCCGACAGGGTCCGCATACACTTTGAAGGCAAAAACTTGACTCATCAAAGAAACCTCTCCATCATGGTAACAATCAGATCGACCACTACCGTCTTTTGATCCATCGTGCAATCTAGGACGGTGTCGGGCGCACCCACCCTTCCGGCACGGGACCGTCGTCTTGAATAATTTCGCGATGGCAGCTCCACACTAATCTGATCGCTTCAGGGCTGCCAATCCCAGCAGCCCTCGGATCGCCAGCTGGACCAAACCAATGGTTCTGAGGGGCTCCAGTGGTCCTAGCTCTGACGCCAGCGTAGGTCGTCCCATTGACAGTGACCCCGAGTATGGCGTTCTTGACTTGTGGATCATCGCTAACGACCGCGGCCGTGAGGTGGGCACTCATCCTCTCAGTAGCGTCCAAGACGAGCTTCAGCTGATCACTCTTCCACTCAGTGCACACTTGGAAAGGTCCAAAGATCTCCTTAGTACATACCTCAAAGTGTCCAGGCTTGACTAGCTCCTCGAGAGGAACGAACACAGCGGTGGGCTCGTAGGCCCCATAACATTGGGGAATAGTGTGCCCGGTCAATGGCTTGCCTCCGAACAGGACCTTAGCGCCTGGTATCTTCAAGAGCTCCTCCTGATGACTTCGAATATCAGCCGTAGTGTGGCTGAGGACGGGGCCGATTGTGAGATTGTCCAAGGACCTCTCTCTGGCTATCTGACCCATCTTCTGGAAGATGCCGGCTTCCACCCAGTCGTGATGAGCGAACAGTATGCTCTGAGCGGAGCACTTCTGGCCAGTGTGAGCGTAAGCATCTTGATCGCATGTCCACGCGACGTGCTCGAGCTGTGACGAAATGTTTCGAACAGGACCAAGGATCTTCCAATCGAACCCAGCATCTTCGATCTTGATTCGTCCGGCTGTGACCTGGCAGACAAACAGCGCACAGTGAAGATCTTTCATGAGAGCAGCCTTACCGTAGCCAACCTCTCTGCGACCACGCTGGAGCCAGTGAAGAGCGTCACGCGTGGTTTTCCTTCCATGAGGAGAGCCTCGGCCACCTTCCCGCCGCAATGTATCATATTAACGTCACTTGATGGAGCACCGACCTATCGAGTGCTCTCAGCTACGGGCGCTCCACCGAGCCACCTTTTGCATGAGTCTGAGCCACTCCTCCATGACCATCGACGTCATCGAGGCACATTTCAATGTGACATGGTTACCCATATAAAGCGCCCCCATGAGCTGCAGTACCGGGATCTCAAGGGGAAAGTTGAAAGGGGCGATCAGAGCTGATGAAAGAACAATTCAACACACATGGTGATGACAAGGAAGGGCCGACCTGTTGGGCCGTAAGGCCATCGGTAGCCCTGACTCTGCTGACCGTCTCGGTCTCCAGAAACTGTGAACCCACGCGCGAGGAATCGGACCTGACAGGTGCTAGTCGGACGAGAGGCGATAGATATAGGCAGCCGACCTGGTCTCCCGAGAAGTTCTCCAGGAATATACGGACTATGTCCACTTCAGCGACACTCTGAGTCCAACTCTTGGGGGCTACTCTCTGAATGCACCTGCAAACAGCGATCAGTGGGCCCAGCTACCAAGTCATCAACACTAGTACGACTTGCCCGAGATGGAAAAAGCAATGAGGGAAAACGATTGAACCACGTACTTAGCGAAGTGATCCATAACCTCCTTCTTGCGGAGCTCAGCCGCCAACTTGTGTGAAATGTCGCCGTACAGACGGTACCTCTCTACGTTACGCTGAGAGGGTGAGTCCAATACTCACTGAGACGATATGCATCTGTCAAGGTGGTCTTACCAGGGGATTGTGGAGACCGCTCTTGGGGATAGCTCGCATGGACTTGACGAATGGGTCGAGCTCACTGACACTTGTGTTTGGCATTTTCAGCATGGGCTTTCCAGTAAGGGGGTCTACAATGTCCGTGGTCTTCGCGGTATGCACCCACTTTCCGTTCAAAAAATTATGGCTGCCGAAGAAAACGGATCCCAAACGATAACAACAGGACTTACAGTTTGACTGCCTCCCCTTCGGTCTTGTAAGGATCAAAATTGATGAAATCGAGGTTGTTTCCGGTCACCGAAGTGAAGGCTCGAACTGAACGAGCCACGTGCCACATGGACACGAACCTCCTCGAGGGTGAAATCAACATAGTGCGAGAGTGAATGAACTAACACTAGCAAACAAATTGAAAGGCCATCTAAACTCGACAGTCCTCCAGAAAAAATAGAAACTATGGGGTGGACTCATTTTGGTAGGGAACTGACAACAGCATAGAGGCTCTTCCAACCGTAGTTGCCAACATCAACGTCAGAAACACGCTCATTCTCCTTGGTCTCGTCGATGACCACGTGGTGGCCGTCCTCGCCTACCAACTCTGGGTACGCGGCACGAGCCTGCGCTTCAGTGAGGAAGCGTCCAAGACAGTAATGCAGACCTGAGCCGAATGTCAAGGAGTTAGTCTCCGACACTCTGCCGGGCTTGAACTCCCCCGCATCCTCTCCGAATGCCTCGGGATCTACATTGGCGGCCCCTATCATGATAAGAAGGAGGCTGCCTTTCGGGATGGTGATGCCTCCGATAGTCGCGCCCGACTTTATAACAGTTCGGGGGTTCCGCATCAGTGGTGGCTCGAGCCTCATACACTCCTTACAGAACTCCAAAACACCTTCGTCATCTCCAGGCCTCGGCAACATGCTCGACTCGCAAGTAGCGATCCGAGAAGCTAGGTTCAACAACCCGTTGGCAGTTGTCATGTTTACCATCAACTGGACCATTAGTGTCAGCGCCTCCGCCGTCGAAATTGTGCCGAGAAGTACCGCGGCCTTGAGGGACTCTGTTGGAGTTCCTGGCATTGGTGATTGAAGGGCCCGATTGAGGGCGATGAAGTAGTCGGGAGTCTGCGCGAGGAGGTGGGGGTACTCCCATACGTGCATATAGGGCCGTATGGTAGGCCGCAGGGACACGTCTGGGCGGAGGATCTGCAGTGTAGACCAGAGCCCAACCTCCATCACCAACCGCAGGGTCGGACGGATGCTTGCAAGTAAGCCTTTGATGAAACTGAGAATGACGGTTGAGGACAGGACTGGTCGCCGACCGATGCCTCCCAGGGGCGAGACCAGACGGACAGCAACATCGTTGTATGCTATGAACCTGGGGCAGGCTGGTGAGTACCTTCCGACCAAAGGAGGGCCTACCTGTCGATCAGCTCAGTAGTAGGGTCATCAGATATGCCAGCAACACAGAGCGAGGTGTACATGTGGACACGCTTAGCCCACCTTACCAAATCTCCAGTAGTGTGGAGGAAGGGCCGGTTAGTGGCGAAGGCGCGATCGATGATCTCCGAATAAACGTTCTTGACCTTGGAAGCACCGTAAAACCTGGAATGTCGAGCTGGCTGGCATCAGATCGAGTTCCCCCTTACCGTTTAACCGTCCTCAACACTCTGTCATGATCTGTCTTGTTCATCGTGTTGAGGGCAACCAGGCGGCCGTCCATCCAAGGGTTACTCGAGAAGTATTCAGACTTAGCGGTGACCTCCATAGCCGCCTTCATAGTATGGACGAGATAGAAGTTAGGCTCGCTGCCCAGGACCTGCCAGAAGAGAGGTTCACAGAGAGGTTGGTGATTCGATGGACTCACAGGCACGACGGGTTGCTCAGGAAAGTCTCGGTGGAGCTTCTCGTTGAACTCAACGTGGTTCTGCCGGACGTCTCTGGCAAGTAGGGCCTCCAGTGGTACTCCTTTCGATGGTTTAGGTTCGGAGGGGGTAGGTCTGCTCGAGAGGAGCATCCTTATTATGTAGGCCACGAGTAGCGTTAGGAAAATGATGGGGATTGTGAAGCCATCGAAAGGGATCATAATAAAAACTGACATGCGACGAGCTTGAGCGTTGCTCGTTCGATTTAGGGATCAGTTCGAGTACTAAAACTAGTACCCTCACCTCAACTCCACGAGCCGCCTACATTATCTTGCGTTGAACTATAGAGGGCGACGGAGCGAAGCAGCATTCTCAAATTTTCGTTCTCGGGCAGAGCGGAGCGACGCAATTTCCGGGCTTGAATCAGTGTGGGTCTCATCCTTGCGTTGTTCTGAATGCAACCGTCCTTGGTAAAGTACAGCACGCCTATCTCCATCGCCAATGTTGGAGTAAAGAGTGGGAAGAAGGTGGGCTGGCCCGCCTCCTATGACTTCTGAGTTGTTGTCCTTAGGGCCTTCCATCCCCGAAAGCAGCAGTGGAGGAAGTACCAGGCATGACCCAGACGGAGGATATACTCAACTCGATATTGCCTCCTAGGGAATGGGCGGATGAGGATAGGCTCTGGGTAAGATACCAAAAGATACGTTCCATGTCCGTTTGAGGCCGCACCGCACCACAACTAAGGAAGCCCGTTTGCCTGCTAGGTTCAATATGTATCGTCCACTCCAGCCACGAGGGTTGACGTTGTGACATTACAGTTGGAACTGGATAAGAAGCTGCAGGAGCGTCAGGCCAGAGAGACGGGCATCTGCCCCGTCCGCGAGGATCTCTATGCTCAGGCATTCGACGAGCTCATCCGTCAGGTGAGCCGATGGACAGACCCCTCCCTAAGGCCTTCTCCAGATGACCATCAGTTGTGCCGAGAGGGGTCTGCTGGCCCTGCGTGTTAGGGACGAGGTCCGCATGACCGTCTCGGCCTACCAGTCGCTCTATGAGTCCTCCATTGCATTCGGCATTCGAAAAGCCTTGATGGCGGAGCAGCGTAGGTTCAATGAAGGAAAGGAGATGGAGGAGCTCTTGGCCGAGATCGAGAAACTCGAGGTAGACAGACTGCCTTCGAGGAGAAGTGGATCTTGGCTGGTGTGTACAGGATGGTGTTAAGGCGGTTGAAGAGAAGATCACTGACGCTCAGGAGGGAGGGGAAGTGAGGCGTGGTGTAATCAACAAGAAACACGAAGACGAGGTAGGCAGGGGGTAGGGGGTTAGACCAGTCACGGTGTGAGGGGATGGGTAGGTGGAGCGGTTGCGGAAGGAGAACAGTCAGCTGAAGGAGCAGTTGGAGACCCTTCTGGCTGTGCCGAAGAGCAAGTAGTTGCGAGTGGTAGATGTCCTCATGGTCAGCACTGTGATGTCTATCGAACGTGTTGTGTTCGTAGTAACTACAATGGGACAATTATGGGTGGGGTCTCTCTAGTTCCTTTCAATGCCTTCAAAACGTTCCTCTAGCACCCCTATTGCGACAGGTAGTGGGAAGAAGGCCAAGGGGGCTACTTCGGCAGGTCCCCATAAGAAGGCGGCATCTTCTTTGAAGTTCCCTCTGGGCAACACTGCTACGAGTTGTGGTGAGAAGCTGTTCGCTTGGCTCATTCATCCGGTCACTGTTGAGGAGTTCTTCGAGGAATACTGGGAGAAGAAACCTCTCCATGTGCGCCGACCGACCGCCCGAGACTACTACTCAGGGGTCTGGACCAAGGCGATGGCTGAGAAGACGCTTACGAAACACGAGTGTCGTTTTGGTGAGAGCGTTAACTTTGCTCGGGTGGAAGCTGGAGTAAAGGTTATGCATAATGGCGAAGAAGGCGAGAAGGCTACTGTAGAGTATATGCAGGGACAGTTCGAGGATGGAGTCAGCTGCCAGTTCATGCAGCCTCAGCGGTTTAGTAAGCCTTGCCATGCTCTGATGGAAAGGCTGGAGAACTACTTCGGCACTCTGTGGGGTGCTAACTCGTACTTGACCCCGGCCAACTCGGTGGGGTTCGCCCCGCATTATGACGATGTTGAAGTGTTCATGCTGCAGACGGAAGGCAGTAAGAGGTGGAGGCTCTATGACTCTCCGGACGACGATGGTCCGTTGCCTATGGAGTATAGCAGGTATGATAGCGGCGACTAGATAGCTGTGGTGTTATTGTTGCCTTATAGGGACTACACTGAGGAAGAGCTCAGCTTGCCCTATTTCGACGAGGTTGTTGAGCAGGGGGATCTACTGTATATTCCTAGAGGTAGGCTGCTGCTGCTGGAGGGCGACTGCATAGTATAGCGGGATGCTTCTGATCGTGATAGGCACGGTTCACTTCGGTTGCGTGTCACCCGAGGGTTACTCGCATCACCTTACCGTGAGCACCTATTACCACAACTCATGGGGTGAGCTCCTCCAGAATCTCCTCATCCCGGGGGCTCTGGCTAAGGCTATGAAGGAGGACGTAGGTTTCCGAGAGGGAGTGCCCGTCAACTGGACGAGGTAGTACCATGGTCGTGCTCAGGGTCATGACCCACTGCTGTTTGGGCAGGTACATGGGTCGACTCATGGCCCCAGTCACAGCTGAGACTGCAGCATTGGAGGCTGGGGGTGATGATGACAATGCTAGCGATGATGATGTAGAGGTTGGCAAGGACGGTAGCTCCACGGAGGAGGAAGAGGAGGTCGATGCTAAGGTTGGTAGCGTTCCCCCTCAAGGGGAGACGCAGGCGGATCCGGAGGCGCTGATGAAGGCTCGGAAGGCGTTCAAGGCTCATGTGAAGGGACTGATAGCCAAGCTTAGTGAGTATGTTGATGAGGATGATGCTGCTGATCAGACCGCAGTAATAAGGCACAGATCTTTGGAATGTTTGGAGAGGTTGTTGTTAGGTTGACTTCGTAGCGTTGCGAACGCCTCCTGCCCCTCGGGCTGGCGAGACGAAGACTCATGGCCCTAGCCCAGCTGCTCAGGGCAATCTCCTTGTCCGGTGGCGTAATCCTGCATGGGTACGCATTGCAGTCGAGAGTGACGTGGACACGCTGGAGTCCACCACCCTTATCTTCCACTGTGCTGATAATAAAATATCGCAGCACATGATGTCGGATGATGCTAGCAAGAGGACTCCTGGAACGCTGGAGGTCTCTGGTGTGGACAAGGTCGCGGCTTTGTCAGGAGATGTACCGGGTCTGGCCGGACTGGATCGACATGCAGAAATTGGGATCAGGGTTGACGACTAGCCTTTGGGAGGAGGGTGTGGTCCAGACTAAGGCCCCTCCGGAAAGTATGTAGACTAGGCTCTATTACTGCACCACCTTACGTGCCTTACGTTCTCGGTGTTTCTGGTTGTTGCGCTACGAATGTGTCAATGAAGGAAGGCTTCTGGGGTAGTGAGTACTTGTTCGTTTATTGGGATGCCCTCTAAGAAAGATGCACTGAAACAGCTACGTGAGCTGCGTGCTGGTGGGGGGAAACGGTCACAGCAGTACGAGGTGAAGGAGAGTGGCAGGATCGTCGAGGAGGTGACTACCTCGGTTGTCTTCGAGGGTGCTGACACGATCGTCAGGTTGATGAGGACGAGTACAGGAAGCTGTGTAAGGCCAGACGGAATGACAACTTTGTGGTGGATGACCAGGGTGGCGATGGTGGTGGGTATATCGATGACGGGCAGGAGCTGTGGGATGAGGTAAGTATTGGTAGTGGATGGTCGCTGGGTGTGGATGATGGTGGTGATGGTGGTGGTAGGAGGAGTATGACTCGGACTTAGAGAGGCTTAATGACGAGGAGGAGATGGGAGGATCGAAGAATGTAGGAGGGGTTGGTGGCCTCCTTGGGGAGTGGGCTGTTGATGTAGGCCAGGAAGATGCTGGAGAGGGCGCGTAGGCAGAGGAAAGCGGAGCAGGAGGCGGCGGCTAGGAGGATGCAGGAGAGGGAGAAGGGACAGAGGGGGATCGCACAGTTTTTCAAGGTGGGTAGAGGTGCATCCCCTTACCTCAGTGTCTTAAGAATTGTTATTGGAGTGGTATTGGCTGCAGGATGCACCTCGGAACAAGCCAGCGTCACGACCGAAGGAGGGAGAGGATTCGGCACCGGTCGACACAGCAGCAGTTGAGGACATGCTCGAGGGTTTTGAGGATGAGCTCTTGGCAATGGAGCAAGGGGAAGGCGTTGGGGTTCGTCCGGCCAGGGTTGGTGTTGGGATAGTTAGAGGCAGCTCTCAGAGCTCTCAGGTGCCCTCGAATAGGAAGAGGCCTGTTGAGGAGTGCCGGGTAACGGAGGATAGCAGTGCTGTGAAGGCAGAGGATGAAGAAGTTGTGGTTGAGAACAACGACTGTATGGTGGATGTGAGTGACCGATAACTGAGAGTGATCGATGCCCTTGGTCTCTCCCACAGGACCTCGTGGGGCCTACTCCGAAGTCTGTCACCAAGAGGCGCCGCACGAGCGTAGATGAGGGCAGCACGTCGGTCGAGGTGGCATCAAATATGAAAGAGAACGATGGGCCAGTAACGAGGGCAGTAGCGAAGAAGGAGGATCCCGCGAGTGCGGTTGTAGCCGCTGTTAGTTCTATTCTACTGGTCGTCTACAGGCCCAGGGGCTCCCAAGCCGAAAGTTACGAGGGAAGGTGGAGTGAAGTGCAGCGATGATACTCCACAGAAAGTGGTGGATTTCGGCGACTCCTGGCTAATCACAGATGAAGCTGACGAGACTCCATCGAAGGCTTCGTCCCCTAGTCCGCAGGGTAGGTAGGAGGCTCCTATCGAGGTCAACGTGGTGTGAGGGCCATGGTACGGGCCTGATGTTCAGGATCAAGTCCTGCGGAGGACCATGGCCTTGATGCTGTGAAGGAGGAGGAGGATGGGTCACTCATGATGTGAGCCGTCGGCTTGGCAGCTTGATTGGGTTCTTGCATGGTGATAGGTACCTCCTCGACGTGTATGAGGATGTGTTACCGAACAAGACCCCAGCCCTCTACCTCTTCGGTAACATTTATATCTCTGTGCTGGCTTTGATGTGGTGGTCTCAGGCAAGACCCGACGGCGAGATGGTAAGGCGTCGTCGGGTAGGGCTGAGTACGAGTCCTGCTGTGTGGTCGTCACCAACATCATGCGAAATTGCTTCTTCCTTCCGGTGAGTCAGGACGCTCAGACCCGGTAGGGAAGTGTGTGCTTTAGAGGGAGCAGTCGGAGGATGAAGCGGAGTGCAAGGCGGCATGCTACTCGGTGATGCAGGAGGTGAGCTTGGCTGCTGCTTTTATGGTCTTGGTCGGCTCATAGCGATTCTACTTGTAGTTCGAATCGATGCGGAAGAAGAGTGGTGGAGTGTTGGCAGCAGTGAATAGATACAAGTGCAAGTTCGTATGGCGTAACTACTGCTTTGACCAAGTCCATGGCATACCACATGGCCGGCTAGGGTGAGGCTGGATGATCCACTGGTTCGGGGTCGGCGGCTGAATCTTGGGGTAGGTTCCTCAAGGTCGTGTATTCCTCCAACTGCCCTGCACTGCCATCTGGCCTGGAAGGAAAGTCATTCTCTCACGTGTTTGGCACCAACACCTCCTTGACCGAGCTCTTCCTTATCAAGAGGCGTATCATGGGCCCATGCTGGATTCAGATAAGCTCAGGGTCTTTCAACCCCTCTACGAGTGAGTCTCCCCTAGTCTGCGACCATTGATGTGCATCGCTCCGCCTCAGCACTGAACAAGCTATCCTGGTGCGCTCGGGAAGTGATGGTAGAGACAGGGACAAAGGGCATTTCTGTGGTAACTGCTATCAGTCGTATTAGTTCAGTACATAGATTTAGGTGGCTGCTGATTCGACACCCCCGCCGCCGCCTCTATCGATAATGAGTCTGTCCATTAAGACTAACACGATGAAGGCAAGCAAGGCGCCAACCGGAAAGGGTGGTAGTGGTATTTTGAGTACGTTCGTGGAGGTCTGGTATGGTAGGTCGGTCGACGGCAGCTGCAGCAGCAGCTACGGCCCAGCACGAGGTAGCGGTTGTGGCTTACTACCATAATCCTACTCTTGATGTTGATGAGGCCAGCGAGGAATGTCTAAGACGGGGTGGGTGTTCCCTGCGGGATGTTTGTTACAGTTGGTTCGTATGGTAGGTATGCAGACGTTCATGGCAGTAACGAAGATGGACGGCGTCACTTTCTCTAAAGGGACTCTGGCTAAGGCAAGTAGCTGCGGTCGGGCGGGAGTTGGATTGTTCTCATGCAGAATGTTGTGGTGGAGTCGAGTGAACGTGCCTTGTTGAGCCATCTTGCGGCCATGGTCACGAGGGCAGATCCTGATATCATATTGGGCCATAACATGTAAGGGTACCTCTGTTGCATGCAGGGCTCATTGGGTGGGACCGCAGATTTGGTTTCGGGTTGGACATTCTGGTCCAAAGAATGCAGCATCACAAACTCCCGGCATGGCACAAATTCAGCCGTCTCAAGAGGTGAGGCGTTGAGGTGATGGGAAGGCTCATCACCTTACGCGCTGTCAGGCCGACAGGGCATCTACCTTTTGGTCATGGCAGCAAGAAGAGGGATGGTAGAGGCAACGCTGGTGGAGGCAGCCTTTGGTTGGGACGGAGTCTCACAGCGGGCCGACTTGTGTGTGATACGTACTTGAGCGCCAGAGAGTATATGAGGTTGACTACGTACGACCTGGGTAGTCTGTCGATGAAGCTACTGAAGGTGAGGCCGGTCTGGCACGAGCGATAGTGACAGTGTTCTGTTCATTGCCAGACTGCACGTGCCCCTGTATCACTGGACTCCCTGGTGAAGTTCTACGAGGACCCTAGGGCGTTGTCAGCCCTAGCTGAGCATACGCTTACTGATGCAGTATTGCAACTACGGGTCGGCTGGGCCCTGCAGGTAGATTTGGAGGGGTCCTTGCTTCCGTGCTTGGCGAGTAGGTCCTGTCGTTGACGAGGCAACTGACCAATCTGGCGGGGAATCTGTGGAGTCACTCACTGCAGAACAAACGGGCTGAGAGGAATGAAATCCTCCTTGTGCACGAGTTCCATAGGTAAACTGGTTCGGTTGTTCGTGCGTGCATCCAGTGAGGAGGCTCGAATGAGTTCCGAGGGGAATTCGGTAGTTACTTATTGTATCAGGAAGAAGTTCATCGTCCCTGACAAGGAGAGACCGGGTGATCGGAAGAGCCACCAAGTTGATGTCTTTGATGAAAATGGGGATACTAAGGCGGCTACTGCCGGGCCTCGGAGGAAGAAAGCGGCGTAGGTCATCAGGTCTGGTACGGTCGGTGTAGGTGTGAGTTCAGGTATGCCGGTGGTCTAGTGCTCGAACCGAAAGCGGGCCTCTATGACAAGTTGGTGCTACTCCTTGATTTCAACTCCTTGTATCCATCCATTATTAGAGAATATAATATCTGTTTCACGACAGTGGAGCGGTAAGGATTGCGGTCCTGCGGGGCCTGTTTATGGTGGTCTCAGGCTGGATGCCCACGACTCGGCCCTTGAAGAGAACGCTGGGGCTATCCCCGAGCTCCCCAAGAGAGCCCCGGGTGAGGGAGACGCTATATTGCCGCAAGTGATCACTCGGTTGGTTGAGAGTAGGAAGGATGTTAAGAAACTTCTTAAGACATGTAGGGTTGCTGATTTTGCTGTTTCGATGGGTGTAGAGTCCTATCAGGTAGCAACCCTAAGACTGGTAATCAATTGGATATCCGACAGAAGGCATTGAAGCTTACAGCCAACAGCATGTACGGCTGTCTTGGATTCTCCAATAGTCGCTTTTACGCTAAGCCTATCGCTGCCCTCATTACACGAACAGGAAGGGAAACTTTGCAGGTTAGTGGAGAATCGTAATTGCTTATGGCGCTGTTATCGATTTTGTATTGGAATTAGGCAACAGTGGACATAGTAGAGAACCAACTACGGCTTGACGTGGTGTATGGTGATACGGATTCTATTTTCGTTCATACTGGTGGGTTGGGGGGTTTCTGGGTATGCAGGATTTCGGGGTGGTAGGGACGGAAGCCTTCGACCAGGCCATGCGTATCGGCGCGCAGATCATGGCTGAGATCAACAAACGCTATAAGAAACTCGAGCTTGATGTTGATGGTGTTTTCAAGAGGCTTCTGTTGCTGAAGAAAAAGAAGTGAGACGAGTTGTCGGTGACGAGTGATTCGAAAAGTTGATGCAGGTACGCTGGGGTGAAGGTCATTGATTGGGCTCAGGGCATTGCCGAGAAGGAGTACAAAGGTCTAGACCTTGTGAGGCGAGACTGGTGCCCTCTCTCTAAGAAGATGGGCGATGAGGTGGGGTTGTAAGGATATGTTCTTTTAAGAGGAGGCATGTTTTCAACAGTGTTGGAATGTGTGTTTGGTCCTCTTAAGCTGAGCTTAGAAGTTCCCTCACTGAATTTGGACATACTTTAGGGTGGAGGTATACAGAATCCAACATTTTTTTCCAAAGAAATTCTCAGAATTTTCAGATTGTCACAACGACACGTAGCTGTTTACTTGTTGTCTATGAGTGGAAGGTTGGTGTCTGCCCGTGTAGGTCCTACGATGCTTGTTGGGTCTTCGCGCTGAATCGCCAACCCCTGCATCGTCTGATAACGGTTTAGCGGATGTCGATCGATCGGCTCAGGAAGCGGAGCATGTGGTGGAATGGCTGCACGATTATGTGAAGAGCATCAGCCTGAAGATGGATAACGATGAAGTGACGAACCGACCTGAGATTTCCTTGGATCAGTCAGTGGATACAGATACCTCTGGAAGACTATGTTATTACCAAAGCCCTGACGAAGATGCCGGCTGATTACCCAGATGCCAAGAGCCAGGTAGGAAGAGTCGTCTCATGGGGCGTGCGCATGCGTGCAAATTGAGGGGTAGTTTTTTTGACCACATTTACGTATCTCGAGGCACATGTGATGGTGGCGAAAAGTATGATGGAGAGCGGCCATGTGATTCGGCCCGGCAATGAGATACCATATGTTATCACCCGTCCTGTGGAGTCGGCGACGAAGGCAGACGCCGATGGCGACCCCGACACTAAGCCAGCGGCTCTGGGCAACGGTGGGTATTTCGAACTTGGTTCTGTTCAGTTGTGCGTATGATTAGATTCACAATCTGTCGCTGCGAGGGCTCGCAGTCCTGATGAGGTTAGGAAGTTGGGGTCATCTGTTATACAGATAGACACACAATGGTAGGGTTCATAGGTAGCGTCTGCTGTTGAGGACGACTGTGTGTTGGTGGCAGCCATTAATCGAAGCCCGTTATCAGGTATAAATCGCACCAAATCCATCCACCTCTAGTGCGGCTGTGCGCTCCAGTGAGCGGCACTGACGCGGCCCACTTGGCGGAGTGCCTTGGCTTGGACCCTAGCAAGTTCGCATCTATTGGGATGAGCAACAATAGTGAGATCGATACGGTTCTTTGTGGAGTAGATGGCACTTTGGTCAGATACGGGGGATGGCGATGATATCGAGACGGTGATGGCCTCATTGTCACAGAACATAGACACCGATACGAAGTATTCTGATGCGAGAAAGTTCCTTGCGGGAACTGCACGACAGTATAAATGCCATAAGTGCAAGACAGGTATAGTAGAATGATGGTAAGCTGGGCAGAAGGTTTGTCTCTTCCCTCGTCAGTCTGCCATATTGCGGACGCTATCAAACAGAAGGAGTGCGTGAAGTGCTCGGCGGAGATATCGTCGGCGCTGATTCGCAACCTGTTGACACTGGTGAGGCGTAGATGACTGTTCGCCTGCCTAGTGAATGTGTCATGGCATGTTGCTGTATCGGTGTAGATACTACGAAAGGTCACGAGAGAGGCCGGGCTAGGCTGGGTCCGCTGCGACGATGAGGGCTGTGGAAGAGTAACCCGTCAGTTGCCGCTTGGTACGCCTCATTGACCATCACTGTGTCCATGGTGTCACCCCATCACATTCATTCAGGCACATCTCGATGTCCGTTTGGAGGATGCCGTGGTAAACTGCAGCAGCTACCGGCACATACTAATAGAGCTGTGCATGAGGTGGGTTTGGTGAGTGCACCTGGCGGGGGTGTGAATGTCGAGCAGGTTCTATCCTATCTTCGAGAGCTGACTGCAAAGCATCGACCAGAGTGTGAGAGTATCCCTGCGCAATACTTGTCTATGAATGCTTATGATGTTATCAATATAACAGCGTTATTCTCTATGTTCGCGAGGGGTGGCTAGGTGCTGGAGTAGTAGCTTTCATGGTTGCCTATTATCTGAATAATAACACAGTGCATGTTTGTCATAACGATGATGTTGTGTTGGTAATTAAAGTGGGTAGCCATTGATGTGGAGTCTTCAGGTAGACGCGTGTAACGTGTGACTTCTGTCGTTCACCTTGCTTGACTATTTACTCGATTGTGTCGCTGTGTAATTCCTCGGTGTCTTATAGCAGTGAACTTGAGAACGAAAACATGAACTGTATTGTTGTCCGATAAGTCGGTTCTCCGCTGGTCGGGTTTCAGACCATCCAGGGAGTTCAACTCACTGGCGACAGGGCCATATGATTCAAAGTCATTGTGTTCCTCCTGACCCTTCTAGCGACTATAAGGCTTGGGATTGATCTTATCAAGAGTGTGGATGTCATATGATGTAGTCGCCGCTGATTTACTTCCCATTGGTGATGTGTAGCAAGAAGCAATACTCCTACCTAATTAGATGCTGTCTTTTATCCCTCCGTCTGTGCTCAGTTGTGTCGTTCTTGGTGAGCGGTTATGGAACTCCGCACTTACCAACTTGAGGTTCTCGCCAAGATACGGGAGTTCAAGTCGACGGTGGCCTTCATGCCGACAGGCTCGGGGAAAACCCTGGTAGCTGTCTGGCTACTGCGTGAGCGGATAGCACTGCAACAGAGGGATGTTGCCGATGGGCAGGCCAAAAAGATATGTGTCTTTAGCGCGCCGAACAAGGTCCTATGCCACCAGCAAGCTGACTACATTGGCAGTAACATTGGCGATGACCAGAGGTGCAGGATACGCGTCCTCACTGGTGAGACTCCGAGGATTGACAATTGGTGTAGCACGGAGTGGAAAGATATTTTGGCGAGTGTCGAAGTGATCGTCTGCGTGCCGGAAATCCTTCGCCGTGCGCTGGCTTGTAATTTTGTGGATTCTGGCTCGATCGACACGTTGATTTTCGATGAGTGTCAACACTGTGTGTCCAAGAAGGGCGTAGCAGCGGGCACCCTTAT